ATAAAAGGGAAGCCTCTTTAACCACTTCCTCCTTTCCTTCTCTCTTCCAAAACATTTCTAGTTACCTTATATAACTCCCCCTTCTATAACAAGGATGGCAGAATTCGTCACCCCAAATAGGCCACTTTGGCATAAAGATTTTGAGCTGAAGGCACTTAAAAAAATTGGTGGTACAAAAAGGAACTCTGACCTTTGACTTTTTCTTCCTGAAAGCAGGAGATAAATTTAAAATGCCCTCTCTATACCAGGAAGAAAGTAACCTATCGTCAAGGATGAAAAGTTAAGACAGAGAATTCTGTACAAGCAGACCTTGCTAAAATAATTCTTACCTGCCTTTAGTCTACCCGCACAATATAGTTATTTTTACAAAATTGCCTCTTTTTGGTCAACTTAATATAAAATTATTTAGTTGTTAACTACTTCTTTGGGTCTTCATTTCCTTATGGAGAGGCTCTTGTGTTGCATAAAACTACATGAAATAAATTTGTATGCTGTTCTCCTGTTAATGTCTTATGTCAGTTTAATTCTCAGACCCACATGAAAACCCCTAAGAGGGAAGTGGTAAAATTTTGCCTCCCCTACATATGTATATGCTAAAAATAATTATTATGGCTAATAAACATCAAAATAATTTAAAGAATCAACTCGTATTTTTGAAAAGGAAATTAATCCTAAGTAAAGCAGTGAGTATGATTTAGTGTTTCAAAGTTCTTTAACATGCCCAAAAGCCACATGAAGAAGTCCAATTTAGAAATGACCAGTTTACAGTCAAATGTGGAGCCCAGAGTCAGCGTGGGAAACATGGACCTGGAAATAGCAGTGTATAAATGACACCGAAATAGTCAACAGGGAAGTCAATATGCGTAAAGTAAGAAATACTGCCAGAACCCTGCAGATGCCAACATTTCAAAAGCTGGTGGAAGGGAAGGCCACAAAGTCATGGGAATTGCTGCAATATGGAACTAGAAGAAAAGTAGAGTTGAGGTAGCTTTTTTCCCATTGCTGCATATGTTATGGTTAACAGAATGTGCACACAAAGACAGACACACAAATAAAGTTAAATAGGAAGAGCAGTTGTATGGTAACTGATGCATTACAGGTGTAAAGAATTAACAATTAATATAGAAGCACGGGACAGAGGGAAGTGTGGGTCAGGTGAAGGAGAATTTTTCAGTCTGGACTTTGAAAAGGCTTAGGTTCCCGCAGATTCAGTTTGAGAACAACTACAGAACTCCAGTCCTTAGAGGTTTCTTCAGTCATGATTGTCACTTTATATATTAATATTCTCTCCATGGGTACAATGCAGAACTCAAGAATTATAATTATCTTTTAAAATTAACTTTTTTAATGTTTTAGGTATTCAAGATTAAAAAGGAAATGCTAGAAAATGTTCCATGATTTATATAATTTTAAATAATACCAGTTTTACTTCAAAAGATGGTAAAAGTTGTTTTTTAATTAGATTATATCTTCGAGAAAGATTTTTGTAAAAAATCTTATAGAACAGTAAAGGAGTTTAATTTTTTCTTTTACAAAAATAATGTTTTTCTATTATTAGCCATAGGTGAAAGCATTAAAAAAGCTCTGACAAACAAAGTCTTTGAGTTTTATTTTTGTTTTTATGGTCAGGTGTTTTATGGCAATGAGGAATCTTTCTATCAAGAAAGTTTATCTTTTGTTTTTTAAGAGCTTTCAAATTAAGGGGCTTGAAAGAAAGCCATTTTAAAATGGTTTCAGAATGGTATCAAGAACTAGTATAAAGAACCAATTTCTCATGTTTTGACTGCACTTCTCTATTACAGAATGAGTCTATGTGGCCTCCCTGGCTATAAAAACAGAAACATCTGCTAGTAGCAAAGGTAATAACTGGCAGCCCACTGGCAGGTGTGAATCCCAAACCTGTTTCCTGCCAGAAGGTGTATATTCTGCAAATAAGAATGATTAAGGATAATTTTAGTGAATTGAAATTGTTTGATCTTTCCCAAAGATTTTGTTTTCCAGTTGCCTTGACATACTTAATAATATTTAGCAATAATCAATATTTATTTTCAAAAAACAAAAAAAAGGCAGGGCGAGGTAGCTCATGCCTGCAGTTCTAGCACTCTGGCAGGCTGAGGCAGATAGATAGCATGAGATCAGGAGTTGGAGACCAGCCTGAGCAAGAGCTAGACCCTGTTTCTACTAAAAATAGAAAAAATTGGCCAGGCGTGGTAGTGCCTGTATTCTTAGCTACTGGGGAGGCTGAGGCAGGAAGATCCCTTAAGCCCAGGAGTTTGAGGTTGCAGTGACCTATGATGATGTCACTGCATTCTAGCCCAGGTAACAGTGTAAGACTCTGTCTCAAAACAAACGAACAGAAAAACCCCCTTATTTTTATCTGACTACAGTGTCAATGAGATTTGAGGTAGACTTTAAAACACATATAAAACATCGCAGACTTTGAGTCTATTTTATTTAGCTTAATGAGACTTATGATTTTTTTTCCTAAAAAGATGATAAAATATTTTAATCCACAGTTTAGTCCTTTCTATTAAAATATTAATTGTATTTTTCCTAGCTTTCCACTTAAGCAGAGATTTGAACAAAAGTATTTGGATGTAGAGGTAGGTAAGTCTTTTAATCAAATGGGATTAACAACTCCCAAATTTGGGGGCATTTAATAACCCTAG